CTTACAAAAGTAAACAACACTACGCAAAGGTAATGAGTGCATATTTAAAACGCGTTTTATTCATGGTGCATATGTCATGGTAGAATGGAGATAATCCTATATGTTTACATTTTGAAAGTTGATTACATTTTGAACGTTGATAAAACATAGCGTTCAACCAAACGTTGCTAACGCGTTCATTTAGCAGCGTTCAACCAACTATAATCACTTCCAAAATGTAAACACAATAGGATTATCTCCTAAATATACATTTTACACATCTTACCTGTAAAGTGGAATATGACCAGTATTGAAGCAAGTAACACTGTTTCCATCTTACATATCACACCATTGTTGCTGACTTGTCTATACGTGAGAACATACACAAGATATAAACACCAAGATGAGCGAGATGGAGGCAGTATTTGTATTGACCATTAATTGATCCCTACCAGGATGTTTGAACTGATCTGCCGCTTGCAACTAATGGCTTTCGGATTCATGCTCAAGTATACCCGAAGCACAGAGGTTTCAGCATGAAAGAAACTGTACTCGTGAATCGATTAAAGAGATTTGCAGTTCTATACAACGACCATGGACAACACGAGAGGTTATATATCTAGTTTCTGTTGCTAAAACAACCACAGAATGACTGCAAACATACCTTGAACCAACTACAAGAAGGCATTGTTCGTGTGTATTTAAGACTGTTTTGACCCTTAAGAAATCTGATTTAAGTATAATACAAGCTCAAATTGCTTTTATCGGACTAGGGTATATAGTTCCAGACAAGCGAGATCGACCGTTTTCATATCGATATATACAGGGAATGTTTTCACTTGCTACGATTCGTGTAAGACATATCAAACTACAGTCAAGATGTTAAATGCACACTCATACATATATGATTGGAACATTGTTTTACTGAATTTCCTGTCTAAACTTTAAGATATATTACATGTTTGTTGAGGTTACGAAGTGCCGTGAGAGTGAGGCCATATGAAGAGACATGATACATGCATGGGTATTGAGCAGGGTTTGCTCACAAGTTAAATATTGGGTCACTTTCCTTCTTCATGATGTACAGAATTTTGACCATTTTAACATAATTCATAATTAACACCGGCATTAAAACAATTCTATTGATTTGAGAAGTGCATATTATAATCTTGAAAGAAGGGTCTTTCAGCTATAATATGTATCCTGAAATAAAATAAGATTAAATCTGCTTGTGCATCTTGCATGCTTTTAGTGATACGGAATTCAAAAGAAATTACATTAAAAACTGTCGTCTTGTTGAAGGCATGAAAATGTTTTAAATGTGCTTGTGTTTGTGTACAAGTGATTTTTTGTGTGGGTGTTTTCGTCGTTAACTCGACGTGTCAATTCTGTTTACAAATGGCTGTTTAATACATAAATAGATCCCAAAATAGTTCAAAGTTAATTTAAACCTACCACTATTTTTAATCGTAGCATATATGTTATTTTAATTTATGGCTAGATTATCTAAAACTGCCAATAGCTGAAGGGATGGTGTAAATGCAGCTAGGGTCCATGCAGGAAGCAAATGTACTGTAAGTCCCCATGGTCCTTAGTATGGTGATCTCCCTTCAGTTGCTGGCGATCTATAGCCTGTTTTTATATTGTCATTTATAGTTAAAGTATTTTAGATTTAATAACTAGTTTTAAATTTATTTCTGTGATAATCTAGTTGTTTTACTGTCCTTTGCAGACAGGTAAAATATTTGCTAACTTTATTTTGATTCATTTATATATGCACAACTTTCTTGGTCACGATATGGCTGAAATACTTCCGATGTGACATTAAATCTTAACTCACTCACTCACTCACATAAATAGAACACTATATTTATGTAAGTGTATACTTCTGTTTGATCATCGGATGCTATTTACATACTGTCGATTTATGTGTGAGAGTGTTTTATTAATGGATGTATATGCATGATCGCTCAACCATGTATACTTACATAGGAGACATAATATACCCGAGAAATCGAGAAAGTACAGTCCCACAGAAATAATTTCCCTTTTCGACACACCGAAATACTTCCCATACCTCATTTTACAACTATAGTCATCACTATTGGTAATACAACTATCAGTATGTTTCAAAACTATTAACACAATGTGTCCATAAAGTGTATTTAAAACAATTGTCGTCCTTGTACACATGTCAAAATATACCTTGGAATGTCAGCGTGCATGAAAATCTCTCCATGCTCCTGCATTGCTAACGTGAGCATTCAAATTATCTATTTGAAATCGTTTTTGACAAGAAGGACAAAGGAGGTTTTTATCTAGATTCAGTGTCAAACGATGACTAATTCGTTACGATATGCCAATAGAGTGCATGTCACTCCCCAGGAAAAAGACGATTGCATTTTCAATACACTACCCGGACCTTCAGATAATGCTTTTAACAGATTTAGTGAATCATGCATATAATGCAATTCAACTTTTCGTTTCAGAACATATTATGCAACTGCACTGTATGCAATGTCAGGGAAAGATCGAGTCAGGTTGTTTCACCTTCTCTGTTAGTGGGCGTTGTTGAGGAGCACTGCCTGTGTACCGTGCAGTGACGTCGATATGGACATGTAACATGTCACTTCCTGTAGGCACCTACTTCATCCTACTTTAAAAATATTTGAAATATGCCCATGTAGTCTTTTTTCGTAAACAGCAGTTAAAGTGCCCCTGTTAGATATTGATCTGAGCATGTTCACGAAACCAGCCAAGCATGTATTTCATCCCTTAAGACATTTCTGTAAACTTCCTTGTACACGATATTAAACGAATTCTCGAAGACTCCCCTGTGACATTGCACAATTGCTAATAGTTGCTAAACGAGCCAGCTTGACCCGGCCCAGTGTGTTGACGACGTTCGGCAGATGGAGGTTGTCGTTAGGCGTTCTCCATAATTATACAGTGGCATGGTTACGCCATTGTTGGCTGTCATATGCAGTATATTACAACAATCCATTGAAAGACACACAGGAAGCCATGACAATAAAGTTTTTTTCCTTTATAGGAGAGAAGTGAGGTAAAAAATTAAAGTCACATCGGCAATATATCAGCCTTTTCCTGATTATAATAGATCATATGTTAATAAAAGGTAAGTACATGATAAAGTCTGTCGACAAAGAACAGTAAAACAACTTGGATATCACTGTTCGATATCATTATCACTATAGAGAACAATACCATATGAAACGGGCTAATGGTCGCCAGCATCTGAAGCTAGGTCACCATACTGTAGGTCATGGGGACTTACAGTAGATTTGCTTCCTGCATGGACCCTAGCTGCATTTACACCGTCCCTTTAGATGCTTACAAGGGAGGATGTAGTGCAAAATTGTTAAATACAAGCCACATGGCTGAACTTTATCGACAGTTTTCCAACTAATTAAACTCTAAAGCTGAGGCATAAAAAACAATTTATTTAAGTTCACTAAACGTTTCTTGAAACTATGAAATCCAGCAAACTGAAACCCATGAAAACCACGAGCAGAAATGCTGGCTTCATTAAGTGACTGTCCAAACGTCCACCTGTGACGTCAGCGTGGATAATGAAGTCAACACTATGCTACACTCGCTGACATATCCGTTTGTTGGTTGGTTGTTGTTTAACGCCGCACTCAGCAATATTCCAGCTATATGGCGGCGGTCTGTAAATAGACAATCCAGTGATCAACATCATGAGCATCGATCTACGCAACTGGGATACGATGACATGTGTTTATCTAGTCAGTGAGCCTGACCACACAATCCTTTCAGTCGCCTCTTACGACAAGGAAGGGTTGCCGAAGATCAATTCTAATCTGGATCTTCGTAAGCGGACGATTATGTTTTGATACTACGAACAGTATGTACGTTTCTCTGTTGTCAAATGAAAATAATTTTTCACTCTCCCCAAAAAGAAACGGATAGGTGTATTTTCACGATTTTAATCTGCTACCTTTAAAGCGAGATGACACATGTAACTCTGGATCATTTGCAGCATCCCTTCCCAGTTGGGCGTTCTCTTCAGTATCTGTTGTATCCATGAGCCCCCAAAACTGCTCTGCACCGACCTTGTTGAATTCTGGCCCATTCCTCTTGCAGTGCCTGCAACAGTTGATCTAACGTCTGGGTGATGGTTGGCGTTCACGTAGGCGTCGGCCGAGGTCATCCACAAATGCTCGATGGGGCTGAGGTCGGGCTATTTCAAAGGCCATTCAAGCATGGTAATGTTCTCATTCTGAAGATACTGGCACTCTGGTGAAGTGCCTCCGAACGTCCAATGGCAATGTTAACTATATTTTTTCATATTGCTAAAAAATGACAATAACCGTCTAAAAGCAAAACCACCCTATATAGGCATTTTTCTTGCTCACGCGTACGATTCCTCAGAACTGCACCTTTTCTACATGACATTTTCATGCAAGTTGACACTTACGAACGTAAACGTGCATTTAAGTTTCCGAAGATGCTTTTTCGCACTGTGCATTTCGTTCGTACTACACAAACTAACATTATGATGACGAACATATAACAATCAAACATTAAGTTTGAAAAATATTTGAAATTTATTATATCATATCAATATCACGTATGCCTTTCTATTTTGGGAGAGTATATACACACTTCTGGTCAGTTTAACAGGAATTTATGCAACTCAGGGACCATCCTCCTGTTTTTTGGCGGTACATTTGGGTTAGTATGGGTCCGAGAAAAGGTTGACATCAGATTCCAATTGTCCCAGGTCGACGGCGAACCAAGATGGATCATATTCGATTACTGGACCTTGTTCTTGACTGTCGATCATGATCACGCAGATGATGTAAATGAAGATGGGCTGAAATAGCGTTTCATCGGGAAAAGAATCTTTTACAAGGAGTGTCAGGTTTCTTCTCCTTCGCAACACATTATTCGTTGTTGCCAAATTTAGATCAAAGGATGCTGTCATGAGTTTCCTGTTTACACCGTCGTTTGTCATGCATATTTCATAACTTCCTGGTACAGCATACTTGCACCAGTATCCACCCCATCGACAGTAAGACCCGTTATACCCAGGGCGGGGTAGCCGTAAATGCAACACTATCGTAGCAGAGGCACAGGAAACAGTTGTGATATATTTTGTCTTGTTCCCGACAATATTTGGATATATATCAAAAGCAAGATCGTAAGTATATCATACATTCATGTATATATATCCTTATCTGTGGATATGTGTATCTGCACGTTACAGGTGTACGTTGCAGAACCAACGAGAATCATTTAAAATCTTCATAAAATAACGCTAAAGTGACATTATGACCAAATATATAAGCAGGAATGGGCTTTAAGAAAGTTGGTGCATACAAAGGTGACCTCCTTTCCCAGGCTTTATTTTAAAAAGGCGCTCCTTGCACGTATGCAAAATATGTTGTTTTGTTTTCACTGAAAGTAATGTCTTACTTGCGTCCGGCGTCTTTAAACGTCTTTTCGTCGGAAACCGCACGACCAATATTTTATCAATGAAGCTTCACATGCTTGTCCCACCAATGACGACAGCTAAATTTGCCTAAGAATTTCCAATCCGAATTATTAAAATAGTTTCAGTATAAGTTCAAAACTCGACTTTGTTTGTGTATGTACATGTTGTTATTGACTTTAGTTTTACACCGCACTCAGCAGTATTCCAGCGATATTGCGGGTATGTACATGTAGTTAGTAATGTGGTTTACATGATGCATTCATGTAACATATGTTTCGTGTTTTGCGGTTAATCTTGGTGTGACGACCATCACATGTTTATACCCTAAGTGTCCGGAGTTTACCCTGAGTGATTGGCAGGCTGACGTTCCACATGGCTTTGTCTCCTAACGTAACCTCCTTTTGTTATTCAGCACTTAGCATGACATTTCACAAGTAATATATATTTCAGACGAAATAAACTTAGGAAGTTACACCTTTGTCTAAAGGTTTTGAATGAACACCAAGACATTCTCCTATTTGTCAGAATGTATTGTGTTACACTTTCAATGTATTGCATACATTTTTAAGTTGTTGGCTGTTTATTACAGAAATACAGTTGGCTTCTCATCAAATCAAAAAACTTAATTATGTTCTAACACTGTTTTCAGAAAGTATACTAACGGTGTATACAATAACAGCTAAGTGGAAGTTTATACCGCAACGTGGAAAGAGAGTATTGAAATGTTTTTAAGATCTGCTCCATAAAAGAGCACTACCACCAAATTCAGTTGAAGCCTAACTTGTTGCCATGGAAATGCAACAAGATGACATCCTCATTACCACAGCCTAAGTCATGTAATACAAAATTAAAATTTGCATCTGGGTCTAACGCCCAAAAGACACATCTAGGGATCATGGTTGACATGTGTACCTAGTTTGGTTTAAGCTATCACGAACAGTTTAGGAGATATGCTTCGGACAAAGTCTGACGGACGTACGGACGAACGGATAACACAACACAACACAACACAACACAACATAACATAACATGAATTCTGATGTCGCGTATCGGTCGTGACACGTGCACTTTGTGCACAATGAACTTACTCACTTTCTGGCACCTGAAGTTCACACACCTGATATTGAAACTTGAGGAACGGTTGATTATTCTCTAGCCTCTGAATGTTGTTAATTTCAACCGAAACTGCGCGAACGTCATGACACGGCTTACAGAAAATCAGCGTCTCCGGGCCTTGGGTATGCTGGAGACCAGAATGGCCCAACATGAAGTGGCCATACATTTTGGTGTCAATCGAAACATGATCTCATGTCAGCTCAGATGGCAGGGCAAGGATGTACAGACGACGAGGTAAACGGTATGCTGATGCGTGCATTGTTCAACGCTGTTCGGTTTGGTGGCGATTGCGTGATGGTATGGGGGAACATCACATCTCATGATCGGATACATCTTGTCATTGTCAATGGCAATCTGACAGGTCTGCGATACAGAGATGAGATCATTGGACCTCATGTGCAGCCGTTCATTCAACGTCAGAGACGTAAATTCACGTTTCAGAAAGATAATGCCCGACCACTCCGGTACTCCCTTGTCCAGCAGTTTGTCTGGACCTGTCCCTTATCGAGCACGCATGGCGTGAAATGGAGCCCGGAATCAGCCATTGACGTTAGCTGACTTTAGAGAAGCGTTGGTTCACACAATGAACAGCATTCCCCAAGCTTACTTCAGTCGTATAGGGTCGTCTATGGCTCCCACTGCTTGAAAGTGGGAAGGGGATAAAAGTCATATGATAACCCAGGGATGTTTTAATACGTATAATTGTCCAACTCAAATTGCAACAAAATTCTAAGGCTCCCATTGGGATCACTACACTTCAATAAGCACCCTCCTTGTAGTGTTTGGCAATATGTATTTTACAATTTCTGTCATGTGAGGGTAGGAATGCAGTAATACGTTCTCGTCATCCTTCAGTGAACATCGACAGAAAGGAAGTATGGTGTCTGTACAATACTATATGGTGTTCTGGGTCTGTACACTTGCTACGTGGAATCTCAGCTCAGGATTGGAAGCGAATGGGTAAGACAATATTTCTGTTTTATCACTTAGCCGGTCGAAATATATCCACTGGGTATTTATCTGAAAAAATCAAACAAATTTGATATAGGTTTCAAAAATTAAAGATTATTCTTTAATATTGCTATACTTAGTTTGATTTTTCTGTGTACTGTAAACATGCACCTGTTGACAGTGAGATATACTGATCTTTAGTCAGCTGAAAAAAGGCCCTTTATTATTGATATTTACTCATTATGTGATTGTTATGAGCAAAGTTATCTTATTGAGCTACATGCTAATTGACTAATATATACTTTCCCAAAAAAAGAAACGCATCATGAAAATAGCAATTTCATGTAGCAATGAATTAAAACGTGATTCATTTTACAAAAGGTTTTGCTCTGTTTATGAGTCCTATGGTGTTTATGTTTTGAAACATCACAACAAAACGCACCATCCGTAAAATACCCGTATTTAACAGCATGATTTTCAATTTCGGCGTGTAGTGTCACAGAATACACAATTCACATGTAATGCACGTGAAAGTTGGGGATCAGATAGTCTCAATGATGGGTATAAAAGGTTGATCGCTGTCTGTCGATTATTCACTGTATTTGGAATATTGTTGACGAACGTAAAATGCCACGTCTAAGTGAAGCCAACAGTCATATCGCCATTGGTTTGCTTGAAGCTGGCCAGTCTCAACGTGCAGTTTCCCGACGCATGAATGTTCACCAAAGCACCTCGAGCGACCACTACGGCGCAGGATCGCTACATCCGGGTACATCACCTGCGTCATCGAACAGCTACGGCGACCAGTACCGCTCGACAAATACCCGGATTGAGGAGGCTTTCTGCACAGACCGTCAGGAACAGGCTGGTTTACGTGTCAGAAGACTTATTTTGGCCCTGTGCTTGGTCAACAACATCGTCGACATCGAGTTCAATGGTGCACCAACGTTCAGGCCTGGAACCAACCGAATTGGCGTAGAATCTGGTTCAGTGATGAATCACGATTTCTATTGGAACGACGCGATTGAAGAATGCGGGTGTACAGACGTCGACTTGAACGTTTCGCCGACGCTTGCGTTCTCCAGGTGGACAGATTCGGCCGGGAAAGTGTTATGATGTGGGGAGCGATCACCTGTCGTAGGAGAAGTGATTTGGTGATGATCCAGGGCAACCTGACAGCTCAACGGTACTGTGACGAAATCCTACGCCCACACCTCCTTCCAATCATTGATCGCCCGAGGGAGTTGTTTCAACAGGACAATGCCAGGCCCCACACAGCACGTCACACTAGAAACCTCCTCCAAAACCACAACATCAATGTGCTCCCATGGCCCTCAAGATCACCCGACTTATACCTGATCGGACATCTGTGTGATGCCCTGGACAGACGGGTGCGACGCCGTCACCCTCAGCCCCAGACACTTCAGCAACTCGCACAGGCACTACAGGCAGAGTAGGCTGCGATTGGGCAACACGTGATTCTGAGACTTATTCGTTCGATGCCAAGGCGATGCCGTGCGGTTCTGGATGCCCACGGTGGTCACACGAGGTATTGACTTCAGCGCCACCACACGTCTCCATGTGACACTCAAACTGACTTTCCTCGAGTTGGTGCCAAAGACGGATAGGTCTGCCTTCCCAGTGTGCAATTTCGCTATATTTCATTTACTCATACAGCCTACAAGATGTTTAAAAATAAACATAAAAATACAGTTGAAATTCCTATATGCGTTTCTTTTTTGGGAGAGTATATTAAGCTTGACATGGGAACGGTCTGTATGATCTGGTTTGAAATCATAGAAATTTTTCGAGATTTAGCTAATGGTGGTCTTAAACACCTTAAACACGCTGCACTTTCCTCCATGTTTTCCAGTATTGTATCATTTAAAATATCTGCTTTTAACTCTAATGCAGACTGCACTACTTGGAAAGTATTTGTGTAACTAAAATGTGTCTATTTTCTACACAAGTGGTCCATTATTTCATCAGCTCAAGGGTTTCATGTACAATACTTGTTTTCCAGACTTTCTGACTCTACATTACTGGAATGTAACCTTGTACTGTTTTTTTTGTTGCTGTGAATAAAATGTTAATTGGTTTACTTCTACAGTCCTCTGTAACAATAATATGAATTCTCGAAATGATACTGTTTGTTCCGAAAGGGTAGTATCTTTACAGATTTTGACGAGAAAACACGTGTCCAGCAATACCAAGGATAACATATCATTTTAATTGGGAAATCAATTCTTCGAAGTCAGTCATTCTAATTGGTCAGACATGTTACATGATGGAGATTTGTTAGATTTTTATTTTATGTTCAGAAAGCCCATCGAATATAACACTGCCCGTGCGTGAGTGGTCATAAGATATGTTCAATATGTTCACACGCATTGACTTAGATTATATAAAGCCGTTTGCATCTCAGGTAACAAGACGTAACACGCCATTAAAGTAAGGACAACTGACATTACCTCAAAATAGTGTAACATGACAATACCTTGTATCGTCGGGAAACTCATTCTTATTGCAAATGGCGGCTCTTGGAAAAGAACATTACAGGTAATGTCTTTTCAATTACCTGTTTGTGAACATTTAATAAAGATATTGGACCTATCAGGCTATCATAGCATTATGGCTGATATATTTTGTAATCTGATAAGAAACATACTGGTTTTAGTATCAAACTGAAGTACACCATTGACTGTGTGTGTAGAAATTTAAGATGACACTCTCGAGCTAAATCTCCTCGAAAACAGATATGTCACCATACCTTATGATGATTAGTGATTATATTTAAGGTACAAAATCCCGTAAATATATGCCATCTGACTTCACAAATGGTTTAAGTGTGGTCGGGCTTTGAATAATAAATCCGTTATGGTATGTGCCCGGGATGATCAGTACATGGAGTAGAGTGGGGTGAGGTGGGGTGGGGTGAGGTGGTGATGCTTTAGCTGATGAAAACAGTCTCCGAGCTATTCTAATTGTGGGTTAGGTATAATATATTTCACATTGGCACTTGTGTGAAAACAACGAGAGGTGTGCCACAGTTCACAGCTGCCTGTTGGAATGTGCAGGGCGTGAACTGAATTAATGCTGACAATGACAACAATACCTATGTTCAACTTTTTTGGCTTGTGTGTTTCTTTTTTGTTGAAAGGTTTATATTAATGGGCAGGTAAACTCAACCCAGAAGCTTTGTAGATCTTAATACTTTTTTGGACAAACAGAATCATAAATTGAAGTAAAAACGGGAAGGCAAAATTGTCACCCCAAACGACAAATATCCGAATTCCCCTTCCATGGATTAAACGGGTTCTGGGTTTTGCATAATTTGGGCTATAAAAGGAATTACAGAGAGGAAACAGTATTCCACTGTGACAAGTTCACGGTGGTATATATTTCCAATTCTAAGAGGGGTGTTCACTTTCGTACTTGTTCGTAAATAAGACACTAGAAATGAGTCCCCAGTCATTGGATGTTGTTCACATGCATGGATAGTTGTAGGCATTTCTCAGTAAAGATGCAACTCGTTTGAATGCATGTGTGGGGTGAAGAAAAAATGCAATCTCCAAGTCTTACTTTCCTTTCAGTGTAAACGTAGAGGCGTATACAACTTACAGGTCATCAGGTTACACAACGAAGTGTGGGTTTTGGAAGTGGGGCCGGTGCACAAGATACAGGTAAAAACATCTGTACTTAAAAACATTGGTTATCATTCATAATGTTCTTTTTTGAATACATACATCTTCCTGATTTGACCAGTCTCCCTGTTAATGGCTTTTGAACGATGATTTAGTTATGTTCTGATCACATTTTCTGAAGGTCAGGGCATCACCGTTGACCTATATGACAAACGGAAATCCTCTTTCTGATCTGTAGTGACCAATCGTAATCGATGCCCGCACTATGTCCGAATATTAAAGGATACATGATATAAATATTGTTACGAAGTTGCACATTCCTGTGTTGACAATATTAAAGGCATCGTAGGAGAACACGTTTTCTACTACCAGGAAGAGGCCGGTCACAAATTACAGATGCAAATCAGGGTACAGATCAACAGATAGCAAAGGCTGCCCACATCGTAAGTGAATTGTGCTACTTGGACTGAGCAACGTCTGGTCTCACTAAAATTGTTGTCATAATGATCTGATCATCTGTATACCTTGATATGTATAACATAAGGTTGGACGGGTCGTGGAATGTATTCTGGTAGAACTGTTGATTGTCATACACAAACATGTTTTTGTAAGGCTCACTAATGCATGCAAACATGCGTTCTTTCTTTTAATCCCATCTAGGCAAATAATACAAGATACCTCGGATTTCTCATGATTTGACATTGATGGTTTCAGTCACATACTGTAACAATGAAACACCATCTAAACATTGCAGCTGTATGTGACAATCAGATACAGTCCGCTGCTTGCAACATCGAATACAGGACATCTCACATCGTCTACAGTAACGGCAGGACACAGTACAAGAGTGGGGGCAGCTGTACCTCCCCTAGGATCTGTGCCAACTGTAATGAAGGCTTTTACCCCAGCAATGAACGCTGCAGAAGTACGTGCATTAAGGCTCAGTCGATTCATTCATGTCGGGGACGTGTATGTGCCGCCATTCGTGTCGCGGCGTTACTTCCCTTTGGTATGCTATAAACCTACACATGCGGGTTTGAATCCCCGATTTTGTTTCTTGTGCTATCAGCGCCATACTCGTGGTTTGTACTAAAATCGTAAACGCCATTTGTATCTTTTTTCCTAAAATTAAGCTTGCATGACTGGAAATGAGGTGTTGACCACAGCTGGCTCACTTGTAAAAGCTTTTGTGACCATAATATATTTCTGCGTTATCTGCGTTCCCAGCTCAAAATTCACGTTGTCACATATTACCATTGCCAGTGTGCAGCGCCATCAGTAACTGTGACCTGGAGACATGCACCAGCAGCAGCAACCAGGTGTGTAGTCGCTGTGATGGGGTCGTGCTGGGCCAGGCAGGACACATGGCGTATGTGGCGTCTTCTGATAACAGATCTTGCATACGTGAGTTGCAATTGGTGAATAACGACTCAACAATATATCCCCCACTTACACAAATGCATGTTGTTAGGTTCCTACTGATATTATCACAGTTCATCGAGTTATGAACAAAACAACATACAAGCAAACCCTCAGAATTTTCAATCTAAACATATTATTTCTTCTATTCCCTGGTCTTTTATTACTGAAATGGGTTTTATTGATATCTATTTGTATGGTATCCTTCGACTCTATCTCTGGATATGTCAAATAAAACAAAATCGTTTTTAGTCAAAAGCCAGGAAGTGGACATCGGTTTTACGTATATTGTTTCTTATTACAACAAATGATCATGTCGAAGTAAGACTGACTGAGTTTGGTTTTACGCCGCTATTAGCAATATTCTAGCAACATCACGGCGGGGGACACCAGAAATGGGCTTTAAACATTGCACCCATGTGGGGATTCGAACCCGGGTCTTCGGTGTGACGAGCCAACGCTTTAACCACTAGGCTACCCCACCGCCCCTGTCGAAGTAAGAATATGCCTTGCCGTCAACGAACAATACAGATTTAGATACTTAACTGACCATGCTGTGAAGCCAGATCCCACATTTGTGTCTACAGAGGCGTGTTCCTGGCGGAGTGACAGCACCCGGTGTTATCCCGGAACCTGCAGGAACGAGTACGCCAGTAACTGTGCCTGCTCCAGTGGCTTCACAGGGAAACATTGTCAGACAAGTGAGTTGACGCTTCCTGGGAATACAAGTAGCAAACAACAAGCACTTAAAGCTTCTTTTTCGTTTGCAAGGTGTAAATGACAGGTGCTGCCAGTAGCGCCAGGCGTGCTTACCTTTTTTTCTCGAAGACCTTGTGCCATCATTGACTTTCGGTGATTCATTCGTTATATACTTTTCAGCGCTATATGTTGCTTCAGGATTCTTTGAATCTGTTTCTATGGATGATCGGCATTGGCCTTTCACTGGCGTTGATTTTCCATATTTAAGTAGTTCCCTTTAGCGAAATGGACACCGTATGAATAGAAACGTTTGAACTGGAAATGTCAACGAAATTGTAAATCTTTTGTACTGTCGTTTATCGTATTTGTTCGTATATTTTGTACATTCGTTTTTTGTTTATACAATACAAGTATGTTACAGTAACAACGAAGCCCACAATACACTTCAACCGCCTTAGACTGACCACCAGCAACGGTGACACGGCAGAGGCACCTCCCGACATCAACAGTGGTCCATCTCAGTCCACCAGCTGGTCAAACATCAACTCTCCATCCAGAATGTACTACAAGTTTACGGGAGAATACAAAATGGTACCTCCGTCCAGACATGCCTTCATTGAAGACTTCCGTGTGGGAATTGTCAGTGGTTCTTCTACATTCAAACTAAAGAGAGGTATGTCGAATATCAGAGGGCACAGTATGAATAATGTGACATTTTGCTGCATACGTTCGAAGTTGGAACGTATACCTAACGTGTCAGGTATTATATTGTACAGTTTATCTGGCTTTACAACGGTATATACGGTGGTGAATTCATAATCAAGTACCCTTTCCACATTCAAGTCCACTGTTCAATTCCGACTATATCACGAGCATGCGTTTATGTATCATCATCAAACAGCGATAAAATGATGTGTCGGCGAGAACATAACCTGAATCACCTAACTGATCAACTCGAGTTTTGTTGTTTCATCATTATCTGAAAACATTATTCACTCAGCTGACTGTGTTGTTGTACCAAGGTGCAGGTGTTGTCTCCACTAAGGTCTATAACTGTGGAGGAGCCAGCCGAACCAGCCCGGACACAGACCTGTACACATGTGAAGGAAACCCACAAGGGACGTCTGTACTACCTCTGCCCTTCCAACACAGAGATGTGTGAGTGGTGGGGAGGGGCTAGCTACGATACAGACACCGTGCGTTATTTTGAATGTTGAATAATGAAACGAATAATTGTGTATATAAGTCTACTATCAATATGATCATATGTACACTCGCTATGTTGACAAGTTAAGTGGCCACTACTGTGTACAGTGTAAGTTAGTCAACAGAACGTTGATGAACTACAGTGCAACTGTTTCTCAATTGATATAATTTTCACCATTTGTAGAATTCTGTATATATTTTGACATGATTGTTTTCAGTATGGAATTCACTTATTCAACAAGTAATGGAGGGTATGTGGAGGTTCGGGACAAGGAGAGTAACACACTAGTGACCTACTACTACAACGGTGCCACACAGACCCACACCTTTACTATGTCCATAGACCTGGTGGATCCCTATCACTGTACTGGTACCACTGCCTGTGTTGGCAGCATGCTGACTGTTCCCGATGTTATCAAGACTGTAAGTATGTGACCATAGTTATATTTCACTTTCACACCCGATGTTAATTGTATACAGGAAGAATGAATCTGTTACTTGTTTCAGCCCACAGTGAACTTCCGCTGGAGTGGCTGGTCAGATACTGATGCAGGAGTCGACTACTTTGTCAAGGACGTGTATGAACTCCACGCTGTTGGGGGGTGTACTCAGGGATAAACGTCGTGTTAAGACTACAACGTTGACAAGCTCAAATGTGAGGAATTGTGGTTCCAATATTTACATGAATACAAATCATGGTTGATTATTTGCAGTCTCGTGAATATAGAAAGCGCTATGTGAATGCATGCGCGCGCGTGTGTGTGTGTATACATGTGCTTACGCACGTGTGTGTTACCTTCACAAATAAGTAGTAAAAATAAGTACTTGATCCAGCTAAACAAATCTGAACTGACATGAACATGACACTTGAACTGACAAGGACATTAATTCCATTGACAATCGATCTGTCACGGTGTGTGGTCACGTGTTCAGTTTACAGATGTATGTATTGTTTCCATATGTACATGTTTCAGACGTCCAACAGCTTCACACTGACTACGGCGGGCGTGTATTCTGTCGTCCTAACTGCCTATGACAAGGGAGGTAATCACAGAAGTACAAGAAGAATATTGATATATGATGGTACTTCAACTGTAACAACACGAGCAAATACATCTCTCCGTGTGACAACAGCATCATCAGCAACATCAAAGTGGCAATCTACATCATCATCAGTGACAGTAGACTGGACCAACAGATACATCAACACAGTCCATCTCAACAACAAGTGGCTCCTTGGCGTAGCTTCTCTGGGTTACATCAGCTCGGGCTATGATGATAAGGAGGGTGACAGAAGTGTGGCTGCCATCAACAATGTTCAAGGTTGGCACAATTTGCAGGCTTGTTTATATAGAACGTACACATGTTCTGGAATCTCATATATAATGACGCATTTATCACAAGATAACAACAATCCATCATTGGTGTATACACACTTATTCAACGAATCAACTAATAATGGCCATATAGAAGCATTCATAATCGTTTTGTTTGTTAACTTTTACCGCTGAAATCCCAAGCATCTCCCTCTTCTGATAACTGAGTATGGTCATGTATGTTCAACAGGTGTAACACAATTCTTGTCGTCATACAAAGTTGACCACCAAGGAGGATCGTCCATCACCAGTCCACCAGCTGATAGCCTGTTCACCAGTCAAGCTCTGAGTCAATCACAGACCATAACACCCTCACTAGTGGACGGGGACACTGTACGCTTCTGGATACGAGCCTATGACATCAGACGCGAATTCCTTGAAGAACATGTGACAGTCCACATCGACACATCACCCCCAGTCATAGAGAACCTTTGGCTGACCAGGGGAGACCGACTCAACATCAGTGTACATGGAGCTGAGGAGTTTTCCGAAATGACGCAAGTCCTTGTTTTAATATGGCGCTAATTAATTAATTATTATAATTCAGCAGCATTATTGTTAGTTCATTTCTAGATTCACTTTAAGAATTTGGATAAATAAATATTTTGACTAAGTAAACATGTCATGAGATGTATTTTTCCCTTCGTCCAACTTTACCTAAGTACTTCCGAAATGACGCGTCTTTTGTTTACTTATGGTGTTCATTAATAGATAATTATACAGAAATAATATTATTTTTGGTTCGTTTTTAGATTCCCTTTCACAAACATTTGAGACTTATATCGGGGACATGACCTGTATTTTGCCCTTCGTCCAACTTTACCAGTGTACTACTCAAAACAGTGGACTACCTTGATCACGGTAAAATCTCCGAGACAACGGTCTGATGTGATGAATTGTCAAACTTTGTTATGCAATTTCAGAATGGAGTGGATTGCATACGATGAGCACAGTGGCTTGGAGACGGTGTCATGGCGTATTGTAGATAAATACCGGGGTTTAGATATCGTGCATGGAGTTCAGCATATCACGGCTCAAGGGGACACAAGTGTAAGTAGTTTTCAGTACACACCTATGTATGCCATAGTTGTACTTCTTGCGGTAATGGAACATGCGCTTTACTCCATTACTTCTCTTGTTAAACACACTTTATCACATATTTGACAATGGAGGTTGGTCAGACACCATCAATAATATTAATGACCATATGTCTCAAAAGCTAACTGTATTGTTAAAAATATCTGGTATGTAAATAACACAGAGTATTGCTAACTGCAAGAGAGCCTACACTGATGCCCCAAGGGGAGCTAACTGTTACTGCACGCCAGCCAAAGTTTGCTACCATCGTCACTTCCAAGTAAAGCCCATCGTAGTAGACAGTAGTCTCCCACATGGTGGAATATTCAGCAACAAAAGCAGGGGATCACACGACTCTGACTACTACCTAGAGGTCAATGTGACAAACCGTGCCAAGCTTAAAACAAAGATGGAGTTTAAAGTAAGTGAAACTTTCGTATGATTGATGGAAATCGCTTCTATGCGTTCAATACAAGTATATATGATTTCCTTTTGATCAATATACACATGATCTATTTCCTAACATGCTGTTCCACGACCTTGTCCAGGTTACAGTTGATACAAGCCCCCCTCATCCTGGCGTTGTTAAGGATGGTCAGATAGGGAACCCGGAAGTGGACTACCAGCAGCATCTCCAACTCTCCAGCCAATGGGACGGATTTTTTGACAAAGAGAGCGGAGTCAAATTTTACCAATATAAATTTGGGCCTCAATGTCTCTCAGCAAATGAATTTGGAGTTAATAAATCTTCATTTGAGGTAAATATAGAACGTCAGCGTTAAAGAATACACAGTTTTGACTATCCTTGAAACCAATTCTGTTTGCTGTAAAGGGGAAAACTGGCTGCGTGAGTCATGTGAATGGATCACTGAAAACCAGTGATGACACCATGTTCATGCCAAAAGGCTAAGCATCTCCTGCCCTACAAGTATCATACTCCATTCACAACAGTTGCCTAAAACTGGAAGTATTTTCGCAGTACCCCTGCCATGCGACGACTACCTGAAAACAAACCAGACAATCATGTGATCGATGAATTAGAAAATGTGGTGAATGTAGATAATATGGAAGTACCATGTGTGCGTGCATGGGTGGGGCGTGCATGCGTGCGTGTGTGTGTGTGTTTCTGTACTGGAGATAAGATGAAATGATGTTGTTGTTTTTCTCTTGTAAAAATCACACAAATCTGTCTAAATATTTCGGATCATTCACTCATCACATGTAGGTCACGGAAACCTATTCCACATCCGCCTCCTGGACAGCGCCCTCTGTCGGCAAGTTTCACGTGACAGTGGTGGCCTTCAACCGAGCACTGGGAGCATCTGACCCCGTGTGTTCTGACGGAGTGACTGTAGACACAACACCACCCAGTGTCAGTGAGGTGGCAGTGAGAGACTCTAGGGTGATGGAGGGGCTGGTCAAGTCATCAGATAAAGTTGTGTGGTTCATCGACGCCCACAGGAGACGTACCCTGGTGGTCAATCCAGATGGCAGTTGCAGGTACAACAGTTTAGTGAAAAGTGTATGCGGTTTTTTTGTATTTTTCTTCTAATTCTGTGATACGTGACTGTCGTGTGTGATGGTCATACTTCCAGTATCATTGAAAGTACTTAATTTTATTTCTCATTTTCACATAATACCACGATAGATGAAATCCGGTTGGAGGTTTAAAAACGTAATTGTAATTTTGCCTGAAGAATTACCAATAAACATCATGCTGATACCAGGAGGATAACAACTGGATATGCAACAGGTGACTGTTGGACCATATTAAAAATTAGCATTGTGTCTGATTGAATATTTTCTGACATTATTCTGGATTTATGTTCGGGGCTGTTGTCATCGGTAATTTACATTGTCTTATTTGGAAGAAGGAACATTGTCGTCTTTCTAATTCTTGAAACGACAATTTATCCTGAATGATTTGAGTTTTGATTTTACATCTGAACTCAAGGCTATGCACATGTTCTTATAAAAGAATCCTACTTTCCCCCGATATGAACGCAATTTCACGATGTGATCGTCGACGTCATGATTAGCCGACTTTGATCTCATGCCCACAACCAGTTCAAGTTTGTCTCATCAAATTCAACATCAAATTCGATGCCACCTATCTGTAATTAAATAGTCATTTGGTAACGAGGATAACTCTAAACCTATTTATCGTTAAACAGTTTCCTCATTATAAGTAATCAGTAACTCACAAGCAACATTAATATCGTTTACAATACTCCAGTATACAGTATACAGTTAGCCATCACACAGATACATCATGTAACTGTCTCCAGTTCCAAGGCCACGCCAGTAGATGACCAGAGAATGTCCCTGTTTCCAATACATCGATACAACAATGGAAGTGGGATGCAACTTGGGATCAATCCTGAGTGTGAATCTTTACTAGCATTACCTGTCAGCTTCACCAACTTACTCTATGTCTACAGGGAACACCATGTGAGTACCTTATGTAATGAAGATCGCAATGAAGTACCAGCATGCACACCCTTTGTGTATATTTTAATACTCATTATTTGTGAAACTTAACAATGTTTTCTCCAGCTTATCATATCAGTATTTGATTATTTGTGTACAGTAACAACGTTTTTATCCGTATCTCAGTTCAGTTTTTGATCATGTGTCGTCTATTTATAAACTGTACACTGCTTTCAGTAAAGTGTTTGATTGTTTCCCAGCTCTTCGTAAACTGGACTGGCAGTGACTCTGAGAGTGGTATCTATGACTACGAGCTGGGGCTGATGTCAGATCCTTCTGGTGAAGCAGCTCCAGATATCCTGCCCTACACATCCACTCATCATCATCCTCAATATCAGGGCTACCATCCTCGTCTCAGTGAGGGACAACAGTTCTACATCGCCATCAAGGCCATCAACAAAGCTGGCATCTCAACTGTCAGAGTAAGGGCACACAAGAGAATCACTTATGTTTCATGTTGTATGTTTATGAAGAATATATGCATCAATTTCTTTGGACTGATGACTCTTTGCGTAAACACACGTATTTGAACGAAATGACCAGATGTAACTGTTTTCATTAAAGGTTGTTGGACCTGTCACCGTGTATACACGATACCCTGCATTTACTGGATCAGTGACAGTGACGCTGAGACACAACTATTTGATTGCACGTTGGCCAGAGACAGCATTCACAGACACTGGGTATCTAAAATATGAAGCTGCAGTAGGTATGTGCAGTCGTTATCGCTCTAATATCCTTCATCTTATTTCAAACGCCTATGAAACTGCCATTGCACTTACATTATGTTCGTCAGGAACTAAGGACGGCAAGTCGACAATAATCCCCTTCACGACGCTGCAGTCAGGAGGAGGTTGTACACTGACGTCGCCACCCACGTGTACAGCTGTCGCCCTCACAGACGTCCACTGGGACCTCCATCACAGCCACACCTACTTTGTGTCAGTCAGAGTCACCAACATAGTTGGACTGTCTACAGTGGCAGTGTCTGAACCCTACGTCCATACCGTCATGCCGCCGTTACGTGGTGTAGTAGAAGACGTTATTCCAGCTGGAGAAGAATCCTTGTTCACAATACCGGTATGTGTATCTTTAATGTTATTTATCACGTATTCGGCAAACGAACGCGAATGTGTGGTTGAATATCATATCACGAAACAAACAGGTTCACACAATTTTATGCTAGTGATTTATATAATCTGTATTTTACATGATATGCATGATTCGATCACGTTAATAATATTTCAAACACTCTTCAGCTTTCTTTTTATCGATAGTGGATAGTTCTGTCATCACGTATTAAGTCAGTAACTATAGTCTTCGAGACGTATTGTCATAAATGTCGTGATTAGTAGGCCACTTCATTGCTTATACAACCTGTTATTGTTTCGTGAGTTTCTGGTAATAAAGATAGTGTTATGCTGACGTGTAAAGAAAGGGATATAGCCTTTGAATATTTTGAGATCATTATTTTAGTTCTTGTATCCCATAAGTACAACCCTTGCCATGTTCAACTGGATACATTTTGCTTTTGAATCTTCTGCTATTTATACAACAAATGTTTTCTTTCCATTATTTTCTGTTTGCATTATTTATATCTATATGTTTGTAGATCATTCATTACCTCATGAACTCATGTACTACAATATTCTCCTATGGGTGATACTATGCGTTCGTACCCGTGAAGGTCCGGGTTAGAATGAGCCTTCAGTAACCCATGCTTGTCATAAAAGGCGACAAACGGGATCGGGTGGTCAGGCTCGCTGTCTTGGTTGACACATGTCATCGATTCCCAATTGCGTAGATCGATGCTCATGCTGTTGATCACCGGATTGTCTGGTCGGGACTCGATTATTTACAGACCGCCGCCATATAGCTGGAATATTGCAGAGTGCGGCGTAAAACAAAACTCACTCACTCAAGCTGAAGAGTGACCACGAAATAGTGTCAGTACACAGAAATACTGAACGTTCATCTATTCATCCATGTATGTTGTATTGTCTGGTCCAGACTCGATTATTTACAGACCGCCGCCATATAGCTGGGATGTTGCTAAGTGTGGCGTAAAACTATACTCACTCACTCACTTACTATGCGTTCGTGGTGTTCTAACCAGGTCAGGTCAGTCAAAGCTAATTTCGAAAATGGCCCAACATTATTAATGTTTGTTTTATATACTCGACAAACACATCGTCCCTGTAGCATGTGTGATGACCATGGAAGACATAAATATGTCTGTATACTTTCAGCGTACTGATGACACAGACTACCAAATATCAACACGAACATTAACAGCGAGATGGTATGGATTTGACAATGGAATAACTGCCATTACGTACACGGTTGGAATTGGGTCTCAGCCATTTACAACAGATATCCAGGCGCATGTCTATGTTGGAAGTGCAACCTTACATTCTTTCACTGGTTTGAGCCTGCATTGGAAAACGGTTGGTAAACTGATGTTGATTGAAACACTTGCAAACTATGAATTTGTTCTGTTGTTTACAGGATTGTATATGTACAATCAAGTGGCGCCTCTGTCTAATTTCAGAAGTATTTTGTGACTGTCGTGGCTGCTACCGATGGCGGCGGAGACGTGACGGTGTCCTCTGACGGTGTGACGATCATCAGGCCCAATGTTGACATCACAGATGTCATTGTCAGAGATGGCCTAGGATGCAGTGATTCTGGTATTTGTTGTAGTTGTCATGGATGACGAAAAATTGCATTAAAATGTTGCATATACTTTATGATTATAATGATTCTGAAATATATGATTTCAGATTTTGCAACTCAAATGTTTTAACCTTAACCGTATGATAAGGACTAGTTTCAAATTGTCCGACATGATAAAAATTTAACACGTAATTCTATAATTCTGCAAGTCTGACAGTTTCTATGGGAAATGATAAAAGACATGGCTTCTCAGCACAAAACACTATTGAACGAACGAATGTTTTATAATTAGAAATATTAGTTTCAGAAGCTCTGTTGTTTATTTTGATACACTTTAAAAATTATAAAACCGCAGGATTCTTATTAGGCTTACTGAACTAATGTGAACTAAAATCTACTAGAAAGTCAATTTATGCTCTTAGTTGTGAGTTAATTGAGTTTTCGACGAAATTTGATTTTAGTGAATGGTGCTCTCCGAAGTGCAGTAAACCAGACGGTGAGTGAGATATTACGTAACTGGATTTAGTAGGGTGTTGTGCATGTGATCAAGGTATAGCCTTGCACATATTAGCCGTTTACCTGGATATTTTGTGCATACGTTTCGCAACATGCACGTCACAACGCCGTCACAGTCTATGTCGCCGGGTTAGCTAATCAACAAGGCATTCAGTATGGAAGTCGACATATCTCGACAGTAAACAAAAAAAGAAAATCATTTACATATTCATAACAACAATTCCTACTCCGTCAGAATGTGTTTATCAAACAATGTTTGCGAAGCGCACCGACGAACAGTGTCGCTCATGAAGATTTCATAACGTGTATCCTCACGATTTTACGATACTTGAGTCAGTGTTTGTATATATTCCTCGATCGCTTTGAAATACAATTGCGTGTCCCTCACGCTCATGAAATAATATCCTCAGCCATATAAGTAACATATTCCTTGTGTGATGCAAAGTCGCTACACTTGTGGTCTTCTATGTGAGAGGTTAAATGTATTGATGAATGTCTTAACAGAGATGTTCACGAGATAACACATACCAAGTATCTACTTCATCATATGCGGCCCACTGGGATACAAGCAACTGGCTGCTCAGTTATCCTGATGTACAATGGAGTTTGCAAAAAGAAAGTTCCTCGAACTGGTATGTGAAGATCGCTCGATGACAAAAAGATTAGCATAGTCACGATTGTCCTCAGGCCGAGTGGTTTATTAAATCAATTTAACTTGTTAACTTACCTGCTGGAAATGTATCATAATTAGGTAAAAAAATATCTAGTAAAGTACTGGTCATGTTTAATCCATAATGTACTTCCTTCTACATTGGTGCGATATTATTTCACCATTGTATATGACAGAAGAGATGTATTGTAAGATAAACGCCACAAAACGTTTACTGTAAACTGTGTATCTCATATACAATAGTGCAATAGGGTTGTCGTTTCTATAAATGCATAATGAACTACTGAAAAGTTGCAATTTGGCCATTCAGCTTTTATTCTCATAGTTGACCTATGGGACATTGAACCAGAGTTTGAGCCCCTTGGAACATCGGATATGGTGGTGGCTAGCGGTCTTCATCTAGAACCAGGGACAACCTACAGAGCTGCTGTCAAGTTCTGTGTAGTGAATGTATGTTCTAAACCCATATACAGTGACGGTGTGACTGTCATAGCACATCCTCCAACACCAGGCAATATATCGCTGACGTATCGGGAATCTAACAGTGGACAAGCACAGGCAAGTTACATATTTCTTTCCAAGCGTTCCGTTTCTTTTCATTCGTATGTATTATGTTATTATGGTATTTTTTTGTATGGTGTTTTAGATCCAGGTGAAGATGGCTCGGTTCCGTGATCCTGATATAAAGGTACTACAAGAAGCTTATGACGTCATGGACAGATACGAGTGGGGTCTGACAGATGACAGTCACAACGACAAAATGTTGATAGGCTGGCAGACGGTGGATGCTGATGCTATTGAAAGTGTGGCTGATGACAAGGTAAAATTGTTCATAGAATATTTATCTATTCTTTATACCTTTGATGCCTTTCCGATATCAGTGAACAAAATGGTATATGGGTTGGCTACCACTTTCTTCTGTCTTCAGATAAGTTTCACTCTAAATCTGCCAAAACTGATTCGCTTTACCAAGTGCAGAAGAGTATCAGTCAGGGGCTACAACCACGTTGGTTTACATACAACGGTGTCAGCAGATGTCAAGGAATGTGCAGCATATAATCCTCCAAATATCGTGCCTGCAGTTGTTCTAGATGTTATCGGTAAGTGCGTGGTTACAATAAGTTTCAGGAAAATGTGTAGTCCCTCGTTAAATGTACGTTTTAAGGCTAGTGAACTGAATGTTCTGTTGATGAAACATCCCAGGGGTACATTTATGATTGATTACAGGAGCAAACAACGAAAATGTTGCTCAAGGAATAACCTTAGATCAGAATAGTCACTGGAATGATGCTGACTACACTCCCTACAAGAACATCCTGTCTGCTGTGTGGCCGACGCTACGTCACAGGAACTACACGTGGGCAGTGGTGGCAGGGGACCAGTTGGACCCCTCATCTCACTACATGAGAGAGACTCTGATGATCGTCACTGACCCCTGTAGCATGCCGGATGTCATCAAGTGTGGACACACGGGTGAGTGTGTGTTTTAACAATATTTTGTAAAAACGTACGGTGTTTATAAAAGATGTCGCATTCATCCATGCCTTCATCTTTTCCTTTTTTCAAGTGAACGAGTTCATCAACGTGGAGTTTGCAGAGCTGTCCTACTTACAACACGGCAGGAGATTTTATGTGTGCATCCATGCTGATGACAAAAACACTCGTTTTGAGAAGTGGACATCACCTCTGACTGAAGTGAACGCCTGCAGTGACGGCATCACTGTTGATCTGACTCCACCTACACCGGGGACAGTGAACATCGAGAACCTCATAGACGGGACATTTCAGGTTAACTGAACCCTTTTAAATAATGTTCCCCTTGGTTTCGACAGCATATAAAGTACCTTGGTTGTTAGTGTGAGGTCAATGCTGAAACTACAGTAGAGCCATCGATTTGGGCAAGTACACTGATATTGATATATTTCTCATGTACAGGTTAGCAAAACAGAAGTTGCAATTAGCTGGACAACTTTTGTTGATGTGGAAGAGGAAGGATTCTCTGCTCATGCTGCTGGGATTGCCTTTTATGAAGTTGCAGTGGGTAATGAACTGAACAATTTGTTCATGATCTACCATATAACATATTCAATTTCTAATTCCTTGACAATTATCACTGTCTCAGGTAGATTTATGTCATTCCTGATAGATAAATGTTTTCTACCTTCAGGTACGTTCCCTGGTGGACAAGATGTCGTCATTTACACCCGTGTTGGACATGTAAACAAGTACATTCTACACAGGCTCAACCTGCAGACTGGAAGTACATACTATGTTTCAGTGAGAGGTAAGCTGAAGGTCGATAGAGTTCAGCTTTGTTCATTTTAAACTCCATGTTTTGGAAAAAACAGGCCCAGGTATTCGTGGCAGACTTAAATATGTGTTTATTGTGACAGTTTTGAAACTTTCATTCCAAATCTAAGAAAGGTGACATCAATGCATTTTCATCAATGTCTTGGACCCATGATGAATACATCATGGGTATACATTCAACTTATGCTATGCATTACAAATAATGCTTCAGTTCTTAAGAAATGTCTTATCTCTTAACACTATTTCTTTCAGCCACAGATTTTGTGAAGAAGACAACAGTTGCTGTATCAGGGGGTTTCCTTGTCGACGCCACACCTTCAGTACTAACAGGGCAACACATTGACGTGGAGGGACGATACATTACATCACGTCTTATACATGTCTGGTAACGTTGAGAAAGTGGCATATGAGCTCGTACAAATGTTTTCAAAGAAACCTTTGAAGGAAAAAAGGACAGGCTGATGCTAATTATGTTGGGTTCTCGAACAAAATTAGCATTCTATACGAAAATATATTTCATGATATTTTTCCCGACCTTGTTGAGTCAATAAATACATAGGCTGCATTTGTTCTTGATACAAGACGTGTTTTCAATTCTAAACACAAACTCTGTCAAGAACTAGAGATTACTGTACAACGGCAGCAATTTTCAACAACTCTGCATTTGTAGATAACATACTGACTTTCTTATTGAAGCTGACATGTCCAGTTCTGGTCGGATTAACGTTAAATATTCATATATAGCTGCCACACTTGCTCGACCTATTAACACTGATTTCTTTTTCAGTTGATTGTATTATCATTCTTATGTGTTGAATTCTTTAACTAATTGTTTTATATGGGTAACATTCACAAATGTACAATACAGAATAATAAATTTTGTGTGCTAGGTATACTTGTAATGTATCCTCACATTAATTATCAAAATATTTAGGTTTCAATATTTACTTTAGTGGTGGACAAAACATACACTGAAGAAGTCACACGACGTTTCTGATTTCATGTCCTGTTCAAGGCAAATGTTGATGGAGTAATATTCTACACTTGAAAATAAACGGCGTTGATATATTCCACAGCTGGAGAAACGTTTTCTCAGACGAGGAAAGTGGAATAAAGTCATACAGCGTTGCTATGGGCACCAGACTTGCGTATGCTGATGTGTCAGAGTACATGATGACCGTTGAGGATTGTTTGGACATTGAGACACTTAACAAAACAGAGGATGGTCACTCTTATTATATAACTGTGAAGGTAGCTTTGGACGTTTCTATCTTCTTTTCTTTCATGTGTACAAAACATGATGACACATAATGATCCCCGAGTGTTAGTTCTTCCGTAGATCTCGATCGTTGAGGTAGCTGGGTTGTAGGAGTCTAGTCTGTCTCACTTAAACAGACAACCTTTTTTAATTTAAAGATTCAAATAATAATATAAACTTGTTTGTAATAAATAGAGAACGGTCTGAAGTCCTAACTTATGTCGGGCAATCTTATTGATGTCCTTCTTCCAGGCCATCAACGGTGCAGGTCTGTACACACTGTCCTCATCAAGACCTCTGGTAGTGGACACCACGCCTCCATCCACTGGCCACGTCTATGACAGAGTACAGTCAGCTGCCTCACATGATGACAAAGACAAGGACTATATCACCAGTGTCTCAGGGATGGCAGCCTACTGGGAAGGCTTCGACGATCCTCATTCAAGTGTCGCCATTTACAAGGTCAAGGTCGGAACCTGCGCAGGATGTGACGACAAAATGAAAGAAGCCAAGACAGGGCTACATCAATGTGAGGATTGTTCATTGCTTTCTCGACTGTGCTTTTTTAAAATAATGTCAAGAAAAATATATCGATACGATTCAATTTCAGATATCAGCCTCCAGCACATCCTGCTCTCCCCTGGAGTGAAGTACTTCACCACAGTAACAGCCTGTAACACAGCAGGCCTCTGCAGCAGCTCCTCAACCTCAGACGGTGTGATCCTGGACAGCTCCCCACCAGTTCCTGGAACAGTGCAGGATGGCACAGGCTACGTGGACATACAGTTCCAGGCGACTAGGTGATAAGGAGTATTTGGTATTACAATAGAGTATCTAGTAGAAATGATTAAGTAGAACCAGTTCTATCTTGACGGAAATATTATTAAATTACTTTGGAACTATGCAGTGTTTACAGAGAGTTGGTATGCTTCGCAGGACATTCATTGGTTGCAAGTGGAGAGGCTTTAGCGACCCTGAATCCGGATTAGATTACTATGAATGGCGTGTCGGAACAAAACCAGGAGCTGACGACATTCTCTCAGCCCGCACTGCAGCCTTGGGTGAGGTCATCTTCCACACCCTGCCACATGACCAACAGTTGCCCGTAGGACGGACATTGTACAACACTATCCGGGCATTCAACAAAGCAGGTATGTTGCAGACGGTTGACGACAACAGTCGAATTGTAGGTGTAGCAGGTAGACAGAATCGTGACAAATACTGCATCATGTTTAGGGCTTTATTCAGAGGCCATGTCTAATGGGGTACTGGTGGATGACAGCATTCCCATTGTGGTTTCACCTCCGACAGTGAGAAGGTTAATGTCCCTTGTTCCTAACACTACAGTAAGTCGGACAGCTATAGGTCTACAGTGGGAGTTCCAAGACGCCGAGTCCTCGATAGAACGCCAATACCTCTCCTTATCATCTCACCAGCTTGGAGAGATAGATAGTTCTAATCTTGAGGTAAAGGTTTGTCTTATATATAAAACGCAGTATATATGGCATTCAGT